GCTGGGAGGTAATTTCACCAGGCTCGGGTAAAGGGGAGGGAATGCTTTTTGGTTTCCGGTCTGGTTATGGGGTTTAGGGCTCAGGGTTCAGGGTTTGTGTGTGTATGCATATATGTGTGTAGATTGTAGCTTGTTCCGAAATGCCCCAAATATCCCTCTGGTACACCCATGGAAACCCGACGTGGTCTTTTTTTAATCCCAAGAGGGACCTTTAGATCAGCTCCCATGTGGGTTCAGGTCAGGGTTTAGGGTTTAGGGTGTGTGTGCGTGTGTAATTCTTCTCTTTGGTGGATTTATGTTTTCTTCTTTTTGTTGTTCCTCGCTCTCTCTCTCTCTCTCTCTCTCTCTCTCTCTCTCTCGCACTGTGGTCGCCCCTCCCCGGCCCCCAAGGGCAAACCTCGACATTTTCAGCCCTTTAAAGTTAAACTTTAAATTCCACTGCAAATGCCAGTTCTATCGCAGGATTCTTTGGTAGTTGACAACTAACATCCATTGCTGGCTGCTAAGAGGAGAGAAGTTCTGCACATAAGAGGCCTGATCAACAATCGGGTTGAAAAGCCTCTCGCCCGCTTGACTCTTTGCTCAGTGTGCTTGCGATTGTCTATGCAACTTAAAGGTTGCAGTCGTATTCTTTCCCTGTGAAAAGTTTGAACACAACATCTGTATTGCTTTTTGAATTCTTACCTGCATCGATGAAGATCCTAATGAAAGCCTGCCAAACCTAGTCAATAGTCATTAGACCATTTGTAACATCGCAAAGGCCGACTAGCATCTCATGAGCGTCATATTCTAACACCCCAAACTGCAACGAACATGACAATTTGATAAGCCTGCGCCGTAAATAGGCACTTGTGTGGGTGGCTGGGCCACCTTAAACGCTGCAGGGTCTAAGGTCTACCCCAAGTGGCCTTAAGCCCAAATCTAGAATATTGAATCATTGAATGGACCATTTACTTCACCAGGAATTGCATGCACGTGCAGACTACAGATTGCGCCACACAGAAAGCTGGGCAGCCTAAACCCTAAACTCCAAAACCCAAACCCGAAACCATAAACCCAAACCCTAACCCTAAACCCTAAACCCTAAACCCTAAACCCTAAACCCTAAACCCTAAACCCTAAACCCTAAACCCTAAACCCTAAACCCTAAACCCTAAACCCTAAACCCTAAACCCTAAACCCTAAACCAGGATGTTCAGGGAACCTACCTACGCAGAGCGCTATCCTCGATTCGCCAGTATGTCGTGGGGGGCCTGGGCAGGGTCCCAACCTCGAGTCGAATAGGGTTTAAGGGTTTAAGGGTTTAAGGGTTTAAGGGTTTAAGGGTTTAAGGGTTTAAGGGTTTAAGGGTTTAAGGGTTTAAGGGTTTAAGGGTTTAAGGGTTTAAGGGTTTAAGGGTTTAAGGGTTTAAGGGTTTAAGGGTTTAAGGGTTTAAGGGTTTAAGGGTTTAAGGGTTTAAGGGTTTAAGGGTTTAAGGGTTTAAGGGGGGGTTTCGGTTTAGGGTCTAAGGGTTTTTGAGGGTTTAGGGTTTAAGGTTTAGGTTTAATTATAGGTCCTTGTGCTTGCTTTGCTCACAGGAGTCTAGGGCTGAGGGTTCCCATTTGTCTGAGAGCTTGGGGCTGTGTGAATTTGGGTAAGTAAGAAGCCGAAACCCTTCTGCGCAAGGCGCAAGCGCAGTAAACCTCCCAGGTGGGCGGCATTTCTTGCTATTTGTAAATGCTTGGGATAGTTTAGCATAGTTAAACTTGCAGCATTCGGGCCATTTCCCTGAAGCATAGAGGTGTGCGTAAGCACGGTTTAGGTCGTAATCATTAGCCACGTGGCAGGTGTCAAGAAATCATGATTTGCCTAGCCGTGGTTTCTTAGTCGGAAGCAAGACACAACTTCTCAGGCGCCTTTCCTAGAAGCTGCAGCAGGATCCTGGCACAGAAAGTAGGTAACTTTGCCTGCATGGAACGCTTCAGGCTTAGAGTGCTCCTAGGGGTAAGGACAGTCGTGTTGAAGCGTTTGGGTGCCTATAGATGACTTGTGTTTCTCAAGGACAAGCCCAGGGCCCTACAGGTCTGGGTTAAAAGCAGCGATTCGAAGACGTTTTCCGAGGCCGCGCTACAAATCCGCTTCCCCGCGACTCCCTGGACACTTGCCCGCACGCGGGTTCAGGGTTGTTCGGCATTCTTTCGTTTGTTTTTGTTGGGTTTGGGCATGTGTTGGTTTGGTCAGTCTGAGCTCTGGGGGATGTCGTATGGCATGTTATGCTTCTGCAGTTGCCGCATCGAGCCCTGGGATCAAGTTTGCGCGCAGTTTCCAGGAGTAGCCCATGCTAGGATGCGTGCACTGATTGCCTTAATTTAAGCCCCTTTAGACCATTGTTTTCCCCCTTAGCATACCCCAAATACCATAACCCTTTTCGTGGGAACTCCCGAAAAGGGGTAACCCTCAATTTTATGAAATCTTGTCTTGCTCCTTTTGAAGAGTCTCTGAGAGCACAGGAAGCATCCTGCATCTAGATGTGGCCCGGCCTATAAGCCCTAGAACGCAAATGGGGGGGGGATCTCTAAATCATGTGCCCTTCTTGAGCGCCTGAATACAAGGCCCCATCTTACACTAGGAGCCCCCAAAAGGGACCCTAACTGAGGCAATCCCCCCCCCCCCCGCCGCCCGAAATTTAAGGACGAAACCCCCAGGAGCTAGAGTACAGAGCCTCACAAACTCAGGCTGCGCTTCCTTAGAGTTACTCCTCTCAGTGTAGCCCTATGCAGCCTAGTAGGGGTTTGGGCTGTTGTAGGCGATACACGTAGGGAGTGAGCGCCGCCATCTTGACGGTCTTCAAACCTTAAACCCCAAACCACGCTAAAGTTTGAACCCAAAATCAGAAGCCTCACAGGAGCCCTCCACTCCCTGTATCAGCAGCCAGAGGCTGCTTGGGGGTGTGGAATTTGTTGGTCTTCAGTCAGGGTCCAGATCAGGAAGATGTTGAAGCCGTCAGGCTCTGGGCTCTGAAGGAGTAGCTCAAGTCACGGGAACAGCAAGAGTCTCTTGGGTTCCTCTGGAGCTGGGGAAGCTTGAACTTGATATTGTTGTGTCGGTCTTTGTTTTCCTCGTGGCCGTGAGCAAGACGCATCATTCATGCATACGGAGAGAAGCAACAACCGTGGACAGGACAACAAGCCAAAAGAGCTTCTAGAATGATCCTGCGAACGCTTGTGAAGGAGCACGCGACCGATGTTTACTTAGTCATTAGTCATGATGATTTTACAGGCCAACTCCAGATGTCTCGTGCGGTGTACGGACGATACGGCGCACCCTGTGGCCAAGATCAATCGTGTTCTCTTGGGCCTGGGGATTTGGGGCTTTTGCTTTGAGTTTCAGGCTAGGGGGCCGGTGGTTTGCTACAGTCAGGTGCTTCGGATGCTGTGGCTTGCGGCAGCAGTGTGCAACAAGCCTGTGCACGGACCTGGAGCAACAAAATCCAACAGAAAAAGATACCCCAAAAGCCTGCGTCTAAGCCCAACTGCCTCCTGTTGTGTCGTCAGACATCCCCACTCCTCTAAAACAAGAACAACAAACCCTACAAACCCTACAGACCCTACAGACCCTACAGACCCTACAGACCCTACAGACCCTTCAGACCCTACAGACCCTACAGACCCTACAGACCCTACAGACCCTACAGACCCTACAGACCCTACAGACCCTACAGACCCTACAGACCCTACAGACCCTATAGACCCTACAGACCCTACAGACCCTACAGACCCTACAGACCCTACAGACCCTACAGACCCTACAACCTCACGGTCTAAATGGCGTAATCTGCCAACCAACCAGTTGCTCACCCGCTTGCTCCAGCAAATGCCCCAGCAGTTGCTCCAGCAATAGCCCCCTCAGCCAGACTCAGCCATTGCTCGAGCAATAGCTCCAGCAGTGCTCAGCAAAAGGTATACTTCAAGTTATGTTTTGCTTTTAATTGGTTTAAATAATTTAACGAAACGAAAGAACTTAAGTAATGTGTTTAGTTCGATTTATTCTATAAAGAATTCTTTTTGGTTTTTACTTTAACTAATTTGATATGTTAATCCGTTTAAATATTTGGCTCCATTTACATAAAAGCAGGATAATGGTTTTTCCACCATTCTCCACTTCTTTTTTGACTTTATCTCGCCTTCAAGTACAGGAAATCTTAAGTTTGGAGTTTTCATCTCTGGTAGATCTTCATGTCTTACATCCCTTAACTTCTGGGCAGCAATTCTGAACCTGTGATCTTGTTATCTGACAAGAAAGACCGCCCCATTATGTTTTGGGCTTCTTGATTACAGCTTTCGTCCTTTTGTCAGTATTATACATTTTTCTTGGATCCTAAATTTGGAGGAGATTCTACACGTACTCTGGTGTTTTGGACATCCAGAAGTTAACATCTCAATAGTTCCTGTGTTTGGGGTCATTTCCATACCGACTGGTGCAACAATCTTTAATTGGCTTCTTACATATCATGGAAATCTACCATTATTACACCTTAGAATTAGTTCTGTCTTCTTCTCACAGCCCTTATATTTGTGTTTACTATAGATGGTGAAAACAGGAAAAGTTCTCAGGAATGCCGCAGTAGTAGCAATATCTAGCTCTATACATTTATGTGAAAATACGTCTGGAAAATGTAACGCGCTACGTACTTGCGCACTAAGCGAGCCATGAACAATAAGTTCGTCATTTGTGAATAAGCAGCAAGCAGCAAGTCGCATAGTCCTAAGAATAAAGTAAGTTCTGAACACCCACAGTTAGAAGAATAATGCTAAAAGTAGTGGGCCCGACACCCGCACGCAAATGAATCTGGCTGTTTGAAAGTAGTACAGCGGCCCACGTGTCCATATCCTGGAAGTGTCTTGCTCAGCAGCGTTGCTTTGCCTTTCCTGTCACTACTACAGCTCATCGGCTAAGGCGCATTAGCTGGACATCACGTCCTGACATAAGTTGCTGATTTGCCATGCCTGACTCCCAAGGTCATGCCTGTGATCAAAAGCATGCGCAAGTTCACGAGGGCACTCTCCCGAAAGACCGTGCGGGTCACGCTGGGCCTGGGTGGATTGGTGTTTGAGGAGGTTGGCTGAGTCAGATCAAGCATTATAGAATCACTGGCACCTGTGCGAATACGAATACGTGCTTTGGACGTCCGTGCGCAGGTCCACTTCAACATGAAGGTGTTCGCCCTGGCCCGCCGCCTGGCGACGGAGCATTGGGGCGGGCTACAGGGTTCGTGTTCGACTAATTCATACGGGCTTCCTGAGCTCCATCGCAGGTGCCTGGGAACTCCGAGTGGTCAGCGAGAACAACGTCCCTGCGGCCACTGGACCCGCGTGACCTGCGTGAAAGAGATAACCATTCTCCGAGTGCCGCAGCGGCCTTACAAAGCCCGAGAGACAGCTGTCTGCTCTTGATTTGTTACACTCGTCAATATCTTGGGTATCCCCCTGGCGTCAGGCCATGGCAGCTGTGCGAGCGCCGGCTGAAGTGGAGCTGCTTGCTTGCTTGCTTGTGAAGCGCGAATTGTCACAACGTCGTCTGATTGTGCTCGAGCTCTTGGTTTGTGATCCTGCCTTCCGCGTCGAAAGATATGCCCTACATCATCTGGTTCGACACGCGCGAGGCCGTGTTAGCTGATTTGTAAGATATCGGACACATTCCCGTCCCACGAAAACCAATGAAAAAAACAATGCGCGACGGCAAACGTCACGCGCTGCGCGAAACCTTACCATACCATCCTGTCGCTTAGGATTTGTTTTTGGCTTGCGGTGCGAAGCAAAGGCCCGGAGTCTTTCCTATCCCTTAGGATTTGTTGGGCTGCGGTGGGAAGCAAAGGCCCTCCTATCCCTTGGGATTTTTTGGGGCTGCGGTGGGAAGCAAAGGCCAAGAGGCCATCCTATCGCTCAGGATTTTTGGGCTGCGGTGGGAAGCAAAGGCCCAGAGGCCCTCCTATTCCTTGGGATTTTTGGGGTTGCGGTGCCCAGAGGCCCTCCTATCCCTTGGCATTTTTTGGGGCTGCGGTGGGAAGCAAATGCCAAGAGGCCATTGTATCGCTTAGGACTTTTTGGGCTGCGGTGGGAAGCAAAGGCCCAGAGGCCCTATTCCTTGGGATTTTTGGGCTCTCAGCCTTAAAGCAGCACTTTCAGAGCTTTCAACTCGCCGACGCCATGGGCCGTGGCTTCAAGCGTGGTGTGCTTCTCAGGTTTAGTGGTTTTTTTTGTGAAGAGACAAGTAGCTGCGCGTGTTTTGCAAGGTTCTACCCGTAAAACGGGTAACCAGCGCACGGCGCAGCGCGCCTCGCTTGGCCTTGCGCCAAAGTACAAGGCGCAGAAGCCGCAACTTGCCTCTCAGCACCTTGCCACCGCGCCAACCCTTCAAAATCACGCCGCGGTAGGCAAGAGCCGGCCGAGAACTGCGAGCACGCGTGGCCGCCCTATCCTAACTAGATAGCCAGTTGCTGTCAATGTCTTTACTTTTAAAGAGGCTTCCACGGAGAGGAAGGAGGAAAAGTGGCCACCCTAGCCGAACTAGACAGTCAAGTGCTAGCAATGTCTTTAGCTTGAAGGTCAGTCCTCAAGCCGGACCAAGCGCTGAAGCCTTAATTCCGAGCTAGCTCTTTTTGTGTTCAACGAAATTGATAACAATCCCAGAGAAGGAACCTGGTGAGTTCTTCGTCGCTGAAACCTCAGTAGCGCCTCGTTGCTCTGTGTTCGTCGCACGCAGTTCTGTTAAGGTCCGCGGAGGGTTTGACGCTGAAGCGCAAGGCTGACTCGCTTCGTCCTCAGGAACTTTGAGATTTTGCAACACTGGCCCAGCACGTGAATCCGCGGACTGGCTGGGAACCAGAGCGCCGGCCTCAGCAAACAGAAGCGTGCGTTCATCTTGCACCACTTGTCAAAGCCAGCCAGCCAGGCAAGAGCCGCTAACGGAGCCCGAGCCAGGCAGGACGACCCCCCAAAAAACCAAACCTCAGGCTAGAACATTCACGTCACGTACCTTGCGCAGGTGAAGCCCAGGGAGAGGTTCCTCGGCCAACATTCGCAGGCGTGCCTTGTGACAACCCACGCGTCGGCTGCCATTGTGGCCCGCAACCGAGAGATGACCTGGCAGCAGTGGCAGAGTCGGAGCCACCAGACTGGCCAGAGGCCTGTGCGGCTGCAGAGCCGCCCGCGGGGCGGCTCGCCAGGCCCGGCTGCGGCTCCGGCGCAGGCGTCGTCGGACTCCTACGAGTACTACTACAGCAGCTCCTCCCCGGAGCGTGCGGCCAAGCCTGGCCCCGCTGCCAAAACTGTGTTGCCCGAGCGGGAAGCGCCCAAGCGGCAGCCGAAGGAGAGCAAGGCCCAGGACAAGCCCCGCAAGCCTGGCCGCGACAAGGATCCACAAGCGCCGGCTCGCCGTGCGTTGTCCGTTGTCGGAAGTCATCGACTTTTACTACGAGCGCTACGACCTTTGAGCTCTGGCGCCATAGCTGACAACAAGAAACGTCACAGCCAAAAAGAAGGGCTCAATCCTCTGTGCACACGCATGCGTGCAGTCTGAGAGTGTGGATGTCTGGGCGAGAAGCAGGATTGACGTGCGCATGCATACATCACCCGTGATATCCTTTGGCTCGTCAGCAACAAGTCGAGAAACCATGCCAGGATTACGTGAGGAACGCAGCGACCTTTGAGCTTCGAAATTGTGCGTCGAAGTTTCGCGCTTTGAGTTGCCATGTCAGCTTTGATGTCTACACGCGTACCTCCATGTCCTGCTCGAGAAATTTGGCGTGTCAGTTGAAAGCACCGCTGTCGATGCGTGATGTAGATTTCTGGGCCCGGTCATCTGTTGGTAACCGCGTTTTTAACGCGCACACTTCTTCCATTGGCCATTCCCAACATCTTCCAGAAGGGAAGGTGTGTTTGTATATAAGCCTTGGGGGCTTGGAAGGCGGAAGGTTTTTCGTAAACCCTGGAACCTTCTGGAACGGAGTTTTTTGGTAAATCCAGGGGCTTAGAAGCCGTCAGGAACAAAACCCTCCAAACTCTAGCAACCCTACAGACCCTACAGACGTTACCCTACAAGCCCTACAAGCCCCGGAAGCCTCACAAACCCCACAAACCCAAAATGTTGCCCTGCAAGTTCTGGGAGGTGCAGGCATCTGTGGTGCGTACCTGGTGGGATGGCTCGGGGGCCCTGGCCATGTAAGCCCTACTTAGGCGGTTGGGGTTTCGGGCATTTTTTTTAGAGTTTAGGTTTCGGATGCAGGGTTTAGGGCGCAGGGTTTAGGATTCAGGGTTTCGGGTGTTTTTTAGGGTTTTCCGGGTGTTGTTCTTGCTTTCTGGCGTTTGCGGCTTGCGGGGTTGCAGGGTTTTTTTGGGAAAAGCAAGAGTGCTAATTGCTAAACGCTTGCCTCTATGCTTTGTGCTTGTCCAGAAGGTTTTTGTGGCCTTAAGCCAAAGACCTTTATAAACTCTCTAAACCGACAAAGCCTTCAGCAGCCCTTCAAAACCCCAAAAACCTACACCCTGAGCTTTGGGGTTTAGGGGTCAGCAGCATGTCACAGACGGATGTTGGATTGGGGGATTCGAGCAGGCTGGTACGGTACGACTAGCTTCCGAAGCTCTGGATCCAGAGGACAGCCTGTCCCGCCCTTCCTTTTAAACGATGTCGCTGAAGAACTTGCCTCCAACCTCCGGAATGCTAGCCTTCAGCAGCAAGTTCCACTCGAAGCCCGAAGACCACAAAAACCATTTCAGGACCAGCAAAATGAGCAGCCCTAAGCCCTAAAAAGGCCCCAATGTGTCAAATGCCATCGCGACAAACAAAGGCGGGAATTCGGGCTCAGGGAGGAAAGAAGCCCGAAGCTCCAGCATATCGCCTCCATGGCATCCATCAGCTCTGATTCGGACTGCGATGATGAGCTCCAGTGCTTCAAATGCAGCGCGCCGCACTCAGCTTGCGCCTTCGAGCTTCCACCTTGCGATGACAGAGGCTTGTAATTGTTTGGTGATAGCCATATACAAGTTATACGTAACAATATCTAAAGGTGCATGTATACACAGCTGTTACACATCTCTTACATGCATGCATTTGTACGTTCAACTTCGGGCTACGCTGAAGTTGGGATTGACGCGTGTAGGCATTCATGTAGACCGCCGATTTTCGCGCACAAGCTCGAAGATTAAACCCACACTCATTAAACCTTATATTTAAACCCCCTGCAGAGACCCCAGCGGTACTCGTGGCGAACTCAAACGCCTTACATCCCCCATTTGAAAAAGACCCCAGAATCCCCAATCCCGAGAAATCACACCTTTTTTTTTCCCGCTTCTCAAAATGCCCTCCTGGTCCCGAAACCCAAACAGCTTCCTTGTAGTGCTGAAGGAGCCCTGCTTTAGGAGTTCGGGTCCTCAGTTGCCTACACGTAAGGCTCCAGGGCTCGGGCCAGCAACACCAACTAATCTAGGTTGTAGGTTTAAGCAGTGGGGGGCTTCCGGGTTTCGTTTAGGGCTCAAGGTTTAGGGCTTCTATGCTGCTGCTTTGCTTAATTTAGCGGGGCTCCGGGCCTTCGCAGCCTAAATGAGCAGAAAGCCCCAAACCCCAAACCTTAAACAACTCCCAAACTTGCCCTGTTAGTACGGTCTACCGAGGTCAGTTTTCACCGGCACTCCATACAGAACATACACCGTATGAGCACCCTGCTACCCTATAGGCCACTCTACTACAAAGCCATATGTGCCCCTAAACACTCAACCTGCCCGGGTTCAAGGCACCTGCCCTTCATAAGGCAGCTTGCCGCAGGTGCGGAATAGTTGTTTTTGGCCATTGAGCTTGAGTTCTAGAACTTTGCTGGTTCAAGGGTTTGGGGTTTAGGGATTTGGGGTCTATGATTTTGGATGTGTTGTTCTGTTTTTAGCTGCTATACCGTGATGACAAGGAAGCTCTCAAGAGAAAGTAGTCAAGTCTGCGAACCTGAATCCGTCGCTGGTGCTGAGGGCACTGAGGGAATGTGAGTTTGAATTTGTGTTGTTCGTGGTATACGTCTTTGCGACACTGCTGCGCAAAAAAATTGAAAATCAAGATTTTGCAGCTTTACTTCCTCACTGTATGCAGTCCTCACTGTGCACAGCTTGGTAGATCGGGCACGGAATCTTCCGAGCCCAAGAGGCCCAAAACCAAGTGCTGAACATTCCGAGCCCGGGCTTTTCAAGCCACAGCGCCTGACCCTCGCAAGAACAGACCTCAGTTTCGACACCCTAAGTTTAACCCTAAACCCTAAACCCTAAACCCTAAACCTGAAACCTGAAACCCTAAACCCTAAACCTCTTAAGCCCGTCCAGGGACCGATGCCGGGGAAGCGTGGCTTTCTGCAGCCGCTACTGAGCTGCTTCCAATCAACCCTAAACCCTACACCCTACACCCTAAACCCTAAACCCTAAACCCTAAACCCTAAACCCTAAACCCTAAACCCTAAACCCTAAACCCTAACCCTAAACCCTGATTTGGAACTTGAGGTGCTTGGCCTTTTGTAGGGTTTAGGGCTTATGGATGAATCAAGGTTGGGGTTTGGGGTTGTAGAGTTTAGGGTTTAGGGCTTGAAGGCGAGTTTAACATCCGGTTGCAGGCAGAGGACTGAGATCTTCAATTCCATTCGTGGAGTCTCAAAGACCTCGTTCTCAACGCAGCTGCATCCTCACTCGGAAAGCGTTCTAGGTAATGTTGACCTCAGATGAGGACTGAGTACCATGCCCTTCACAATACGGAGGGCGAAAGTTCGCCTGCACGGGATCGTGTAGAGTGCTCCGACAATATTGCGACCAATCTGCCAGCCTCCCCGACAGGCATTTCCGCGGCATGATTTGGGGACTCTGACGTTTCACTGATGAGCTTTTGTTGGATGCATATAAGGCGTTAAGAGGTGAATGCAAGGCCTCATGCTCGAATATTACTCCATTTCCCGGACGACAAAAGCGCAAAGGCTGCGCGACGGCCGAGTGCATCTTCTGTGGCCATCGCTACGAGCAGGCTGCCGGGATTCCCTTTGTTGGTGGTTAAACATTTTAGGGTTCAGGGGTTAGGGTTTCGGGTTTAGGGTTTAGGGTTTAGGGTTTAGGGTTTAGGGTTTAGGGTTTAGGGTTTAGGGTTTAGGGTTTAGGGTTTGGCTAAAGACATCTAGACAGCTTGCCCAACCCCTTGCAACCTAATCGGTGAACCTGGCAGAGGGTCTGGCCATCAAGTGGCGGCCTATGCACCCTCAGCATGCAGCGAGAAACTTAAAGTGGAAGTGCTGGTAAGGGCTTAGGCGTAAGGGCCTAGGAGTTTAGGGTTTAGGCAGCCCACTGGGAACGTGAGACGTGGTTTAGGGCATCAAGGCATACTCAGTGACTTCCAAGCTGTTTTGTTTGACTCCATGGACTCTATGGAATGGCATAGAGGCTTGAAGCTAACAGTCGGGCTAGAGCTGTTGCATGTGAGCATTCTCCTGCTTTTCCATGTGCTGTATTTCCCGCTCGTCTATCGTCGAGGGCAGAAGATGAGTAGGTGACCACTGGTTTAAGTTCCTTACATACTACATAATCGCAGCTGAATCGCATGGCGAGTTGTATTTGGGGATACCGGGACTCAATTGCCTACTAAGAACTAGTACGTAATCTTTACACTGCCCGCCCGCTAGTGCAAACAAGGGAGCGAGGCCGTTGCCAGTGCTAGATTCGGACCCTAAACCCTATACCCTATACCCTATACCCTAAACCCTAAACCCTAAATCCTATATTGGGACTCAGAGCCGGGAAGCTTTGATTTGGGGAGATGGGTTTGGGTTTTGGCGGTCTGCGAAAGGACTCCCTGCCCGCGCTTCCCCACGTTCCCGCTTCCCAAGATCTGACCTCAACTAGGAGGCTCAGGTGTGTAGTTCCCTAAACCCACAGCCAGAAATCCCACTGCTATCTGCACATGAGCCTTCAAACAGTCCTGCAATCCGGGGCCATTCCTGATTCTGGAAGAAGGTTCCCGGTTGAGAACCCAAACCCTAAATCATCAACCCTAACCCTAAACCCTAAACCTAAACCCGAAATCCTTAACCCTAAACCCCCCGAAACCCTAAACCCGAAACCCTAAACCCCAAACCCGAAGGGCTTACAAGAGTTCAGGGCCAACGGCTTCGGCTTGGGGGCTGAAGCTTGAAGTCGGGAGAGGGTGGGAAGGTTGAACTCGCGTTTAGGGTTTAGGGTTCAGGGTTTAGGGTTGAGGGTTTCGGGTTGAGGGTTAAGGCGCTTTGGCATGAGTTGAAGTTTCAGGGATTGGGGTTCGGAAGCTTTTATAGGTAAAATCACAAGTGCCCTAAACAAGGTCTTAACCATAGTTATCCTACTTATAACCCTACTATTAAGTGCCCATGATCCTCTAAGTAAGCCCGTCAGCATGCTGCAGGAAGACATGGTGGAGTTGGCCCGAGACAGGTTTGAGGGGGGGGGGGGGGGGGGGGGCTGCTTTTGGATCGCCAGGGATGGTTCACTACTGGTCAGGCGGGAAATTCGTGTTGTTTTGTCTAGGATCACTGTCATAATACATCCCCCCTTGAAGATTGTTATACGTTAGGCACCCAGGAAGGAACCCATATTTTCTGACTTGACTTGAGCTGTGAACTGACTCACTCTTCATTCTGCTTGTGGAAGTTGGGCTGACGGGCCAAGCGGCATTTGTAGGAAAGCATTTGGGAGGCCAGAGCCCGGCGTCATCGGATGCAGGGGTTTAGGGCTTGAGAGGGTTTAGGATTTAGCGCCTCAAGCCCTTACTATAATTCCGACTATGAGCTGGCGAAGCCCGGTGAGTCTTTAGGAAGCTTGCCCTTATGCGGAAAGAAGCACTTCTATGCCAGATGTTGGGGCTGAGGGTGGCTTTCGCGTTTTATCCCCGTTACTTCAGGGCACAAGGGGTTTGGAACACACCTTCTGGCTGAATAGGTGGCCCACTCCCAAGCTACCCCAAGCAACCCCAAGAACGCAGACCTGCACAGGGCAAGGGAGCCGAAGGAGCTGCACTCCAAGGCCAGCAAGCTGAGGGATCAGGAAGTTTAGGCTTCATCTTCGGCCTGCGCGGAGGGCTTAAGGGGTTTAGGGTTATAAGGGGTTTCGGGATGTAAGGGTGTATGGGTTCAGGGGTGTACGGGTTTAGGGCCTACAGGGCTTGAAGTATGAAGCCTCAAGCCGAAGGCCATTAGGGCTTAGGACATGAAGCCTGAAGCCCCGGGACAGGGTTCGGGGTATCAAGGGGTAAGGGTTTAAAGCCCTAAACCCTGAACTCTAAACCCTGAACCCCCAAAACCCTAAACCCCAAACCCCAGACCCCAGACCCCAAACGCCAAACCCTGAATCCTAAACCCCAAGCCCTAAACCCCAAACCCCCAAACCCTAAACCCCAAACCCTAAACCCTAAACCCTAAACCCTACCTAAACCCTAAACCCTAAACCCCAAACCCTAAACCCTAAACCCCTAGCCGGGCCAGGCCCCGGCGCCAGTTTGGACCGGCACCCCGGCCCCACGCGAGTACCAAGTGCAGGCCTTCAGGCCAGCCGAGGGTTAAGGGTTTACTTGTTTAGGGCTTAGGGTTTAAGGGTTCAGGGTTTAGTTTAGGGTTTAGGGTTTAGGGTTTAGGGTTTAGGGTTTAGGGTTTAGGGTTTAGGGTTTAGGGTTTAGGGTTTAGGGTTTAGGGTTTAGGGTTTAGGGTTTAGGGTCTTTCCAGGATAGCAAGTAGAAGCAAGTTATACCTGGTGAGGCTCGTGTCCTGTCTCCACAGCCCTAGGGAACCTACGTACGTCTCGCAAAAGCGGGCGCTGGCTCCGAGGCAGGTGTGCGAGCAGAACACGATCGTGAACATGGATACTGGCCTGGGCAAAACACTCATCGCGGTGATGTGAACCTCGGAGCTGTTTCAGACACGGGGGTTTACGAAATTCGGGGACCCCCCCCCCACCCAATTAGTAAGATTCCCGTATAGTAGGACCCCAATACGGAACCCCTAATTTCTTAAACCCCCGCATGTGTCCTTGTCTAACTCTAACTTCAACAAGCCTTGTATTGCAAGCTTGCCAGATCCCTTTCAGGGTGCCTGGAAGTAGCTATTAGCTATATGGAACAGCTTGGAGCACAGATGCTTGGCCCTGGCCTGAGGTATAGATTATCACCTGAAACGCCAGCCTTCCAAGAAGGTCTTGATGTGTGTGGGAGCCTCAGCCTGGTACCTGCCAAGCCAAACCCAACACCTTCATTTCAGGGCCAGACGTTGGGGGTTGAAGACGCCAAAGAATGAAGGACCCAGAAGGACTCCGCATCTTGCAACTCATTCACAGCCCACATGGTTCCTTAGCACCTCCACTCTTGAAGCGTGCTGGGCAGGGTTGTCTTGCCAGCTGCTTCGAGGCAAAGAAGTATCTAGAGCAACGCCCAAGGTCCAATCGCTCAGTCAAATTAGTCACTCGCATAATCTGCCACGACATTTGCTGGTGGGGTCGACTTCCTGAAGATTCAGCTCTCGAAGACACGGCCAATCTCAGCCAATGTGCCAACCGGAGACCAGAAATCGGGAATTGGGGCTATGTGCGCCCAGCCCTAAAGGGGCCTGTTTAGATGGAATAGGTACAGGTAGCTTGGAGTATCATGAGTGTGCAGGACAGTATGGGGCAATGCTCTTGGCCTCCTAGTCGGTTAACGTCTGAAGCCCTTCGCCTTAGTGCTTGACCGATAGTATCCACCCTGAGGTTCCAACAGTCCAGCTGGCGAAGCAGCAGGCATCCTACATCCAAGCGACATCCACTGCGGCTTGACAGGTTTAAGGGCTTCCCCGAACAAAACACCCTACACCCTAAACCCTAAACCCTAAACCCTAAACCCTAAACCCTAAACCCTAAACCCTAAACCCCGGGTTCGGGACATAGGGCTTGGGGCTTTCGTTTTCATGTTCAAGGTTAATTAGGGCTCAATGGTTTTCGGGGTTGCGGGTCAGAGTTCAGGGTTCACTGCTTATGGCTTCACTCTAAACCCCAAACTCCAAACCCCCCAAACCCTCAAACCCTAAACTGAAGAGTCAAGACCTGCGGGCTCAACTGTTTAAGGCTTCAGGGCTCAACGGCGTAGGTCGAGTAGCAGTTTTGAGGTTCACGCCGTGAGGGCTTCAAGAGGCCGAAAGAAAGTTGAAGGACTGAGAGTTCTCAATGGGATGGGCGGGCTGCGAAATCATGGAATGTTGAAGGTTCGAAGGTTTATCGTCGTTTCAATCTTTAAGCCCGAAGTTAAACCCTACAAGCCCTGAGTATTGTTTCGCTTGAGGTCTCAGGGATTCAAGTCGCTGACGTCACTGGCGGAACGATCGCCGCTACGGCAGACAGCCGGGCACTGAGTCGGGGTTTGGAGCCCTACATGCGCCAGTGGGTTTCGAGGGTCTAGGGGTTTGGCTTTCGCGTTTGGGGTTTAGGAGCTGGGGAACAGGCAAAGCACGGCGTTCAAGGAAGTCGACCGAAACAGCGCTCCATTGGGGCGAAGCAATCCCTGAGTGATGAATGCTGCGGAGTTGAGAGGGAATTCGTTGGTTTGTAGTTTGTAGTACAACGTGCTGGAACAAACCCATCAACACTGGGTCATATTGGGGCGGAGGCCATGCATGAACCACTTTGAATGGTGGTATTTAGGCATACTTAGGCTAAGCGCTCCATCGAGGTTTACATAGTTTCGTATCGAATTCGCTGCTTTTGGTAACTGCAAAATCCCTGCGCTCATTGGGGGGGAAGGGGGTTCTGCGGTCGCCTTCGACACAACTTCCTCTAAGCCCTCAAACTAAGCCCTAAACCCTGAACCAAGCAAAACCTAGACCCCTGTTGCTTCTGCAACTTCGGGCTTAGGAGGGGCTTCATCTGACCCCCCCCCCCCCTCCCTCCACCCATTCCCCAAAACTCGCAACCCTGAACCCCGAACCCTCTATGAACCTTGCATCAGAAGGCTTCCGGGGTTGCGGCTCAAAGAGCCAAGGTTGCTCTGCATGACCAGGGTCCTTTAGGGTTTAAGGGTTAAGGGTTAAGGGTTCAGGGTTTAGGGTTTAGGGTTTAGGGTTTAGGGTTTAAGGGCTAAGGTTTAAGGGTTTAGGGTTTAGGGTTTCGGGGGCTTAGGGTTTACGGCCTAGGGCTCAGGGTCAGGTGTAAACTGCGGGCCCATTTTGGGGGGGTCCCTTCTAGAACCACAGACATTGTGGTTGCATAAGGCCCCCAAATCCGCCCCTCAATGCCAGAACAAAGGTCCGATCTAACTGTAGGGTTTAGGGCGTAGGTTGTAGGGGTTTAGGGTTGTCGGATTTAGTGTTTAGGGTTTTCATGTTCAGGATTTCAGGGCTCGGGGTAGACCGTGGGTGGAGGCCAAGAACGTGCCGCGCACAAACAAAACGCGCGCACAACCATGTGTGGGGGCGTCCTTCTAGGGGTGCTTGCAATAGAAACCCACGTCATATGTGCACATGTCAAGTTTATCCAAACCCCTGAACCCTAGCGTTCATTTTCCGTGTGGGGTCCAGGTTTGGGTCTAACATGCCCCGAGCTTTCATAGTCACCACTTAGGGGCGGCACATTCCAGGGTTCCAGTGGTCTCTAGAATCTCCATGGAGCCATCGTCCCGAAGCCGAGGCTGGGCGAAGCTGCTTCAAGGGCATCAGGTGATAGTGGCCACGGGCCAACTGGCGATGCAGGCCGTACCCCGAGATGTAACCCTAAACCCTAAACCCTAAACCCTAATTCCTAAACCCTTAACCCTTAACCCTTAACCCTTAACCCTAAACCCTTAACCCTTAACCCTTAACCCTTAACCCTTAACCCTTAACCCTAAACCCTAAACCCTAAACCCTAACCCTAAAGCCTAAACCCTAAACCCTAAACCCTAAAGCCTAAACCCTAAACCCTAACCCTAAACCCTAAACCCTAAACCCTGTAGGACTTGGGATTCCCCTGAGCAGTACACCCTTCCCCCGCCAGATACCAAGATCACCTACTAGGACTGGGAGTAGGCCCTTTTTTGCTTTTTTTAGGGTTGGGGTTCCCTTAGAATCCCCTTACAACCAAAAAGGGTGCCCTTGTTATTCCTAGGTTACTCCCGGGTCTAGCCTACTTTGAGCTGGCAGTTCTGGTGCTGTAGCAGGTTCTCCTCTGTCGAAAGTGTGCTAAGCTTCGAAACATGGGAGAAAGGATGGGAAGTGATTAGCACTCCAGCAGCTTGCGGGGCCCCGGGCTGGAGAACCCAGACCCCATCTCCGCATCATCGCGCACGGGAGCTCCGCGAAACAGAGCTCCAGGGCCCTTCCCCCGGTTTAGGGGGCCATGAAGGTTTGCTGGAAAAGACCTCGGTAGGAACCTTTGTTCCCTTTTCATTGTTGGGGGGAGGGTGGTGGGGTTTTTCGGCGTTCATTGTTATGGCCGCCTGCGCTGCTACTCTTCCAGGCTTAAATCGCCTGAAGCCCAATTCTACCAATGACCGACGCCACGTTGTTACCCCTAAACCGCCTAAACTCCCCGAACAACTCCCCTGAACCCTAACCCTCAGAAGCCCCTTAGTTAACCCCAAACCCTAAACCCCACACCCGAAACCCTGAAAACTTCCCTGGCAGGCTGTTACAGAATGGGGCTTCTTGCCCCTCGAACAGCTGAGCCTGCTGATCCTCGATGAATGCCGCCTTTCCTGGGTTTGGCAGGGCTTGGCATTGCAGGGTTGGGGGCTTTTAAAATTTTTTGGGCTTTAGGGCTTCAGGGCCTGAGGTATTGTTGATCTAAACTCTGAACCCTATGCCCTACATAAACACTGAATCCTAAACACTATACCCTAATAAGCCCTAAACCCTAAACCTGAACAGTTGCTTGGAACAGGGAGGGTTTTGGGTTTAGAGATTCAGGTTTGGGGTTTAGGGCTTGAGGTTTCCGACCAAGTTTCAGGTTTAGGGTTTAGGGTTTCATGGATCCAGGTTTAAGGTGTCAGGGCTGTCAGGGCTTTCGGGTTTTCGGGTTGGAGGGCTTGAGGGTTTTAGATGCTTGGGCTTCAAAGGTGGTTGTGGGGTCTAGGATTTTTGGGGACTTGGAGCTTTTTAATATGGGTCGCACCAGTAGTATTCCTTCCCCTCATGGTCCCTGCACAGTTATACTATAACTCCCCAAACTCTATTCTAATGATCAAGGCCCCCATATTCGGTGGCAGCGACCCGTAACTTCCTTCCTTCGACGCCCCGGATCCCTGGCCCGCCGAGGTCACCATGCCGTTGGCAGCCACCCTTTCGTATCCCTTATGTGGCCGTGGCTGCACTCGGTGTCGAGTAATACTTATCCTAGGTCGTCGGCTCGATGATGAATCAGAGTCATAACCAGGGACCTTGAAGCTACGCTTGCCCAGCTGTGATTTCATTTTGGTTACAGCCAGACAGTAAACTCCGTAACTGCTAAGTGTTTGGGGAATGTGAGACCATAACCTCACTCCACACCCCTAGCTTCCTGCAAGCAACATGGCACAGAATCAAAAACAATAAATACCCTGCCAGCGCCGAAGACCAAGCCTTCTCCCTCCTGAAACCCAAATGCCCTGAAAGCCCCCAAACCCTTGCTGCGCAGCTGCACCGGCGGCAAGATCTGATCTTGATCGGCTAAGGTTCCTCCAGTTAGCAGGAAGTGCGTAGCTGTTCCCCGCTTTAGCAAGCCAGGTTCCCATGCAAAATGTGGCAATCCAAAACAGCAAGCTCTCAACCAAACACTCCTGTAGGCCCTAAACCCTCAACCCTTGTATTCATAGCCTCCCCTAAGCCCTAAACCCTAACCCCCAAACCCCTAAACCCCAAAACCTTAACCCTAAACCCTAAGCCCCAAACCCCTAAACCCCTAAACCCCAAACCCCAAACCCCAAACCCAAAACCCCAAACCCGAAACCCTAAACCCTAAACCCTAAACCCTAAACCCTAAACCCTAAACCCTAAACCCTAAACCCTAAACCCTAAACCCTAAACCCTAAACCCTAAACCCTAAACCCTACCCCAAACCCTACCCCAAACCCTAAACCCTCCTAGTTGACTCTAAGCCCTCTTTGAGCAAGGCAGGAGCCCCGAGCCTGGGAGCTGCCGGGGTTGGAGCTCCCTCGTGCCGCGAGCCTCGGAAGGGAGGGGCGTGGGCCTGTGTAGGGGTTTAAGGGGTAATTGGGGTTAGGGGGTAGCCCTAAACCCTAAACCCTAAACCCTAAACCCTAAAACCTAAACCCTAAACCCCGAACCCTGAACCCTAAACCCTAAACCCGGATTCTGGCGGTTTGAGGTGTTCCAGAGCCTGGTGATGTTTGAGAGTTTCAGAGGGGATTTATACAGGTTTTTCAACCCTCCCAACCCTAAACTTAAACCCTAAAACGCGAAGCCCCGAGGGACCTCCATCCTAGGGGTTCTCATGGTTTGAGAGATTGGGGGTTCACGCAAGGAGGTTTCTGGTTTGTGGCTACAGTCGTGGCTCAGGGTTGAGGGTTTAGGGTTCAGGGTTAAGGGGGGTTCAAGTATCGTAGATTCAAAGACGCGCTGAGCTCAACCCAAAGACATCCTTGCGAACCTCTGGTTCCGACACTCCAAACCCCCAAGCCTCAAGAACATGATCCTCCTTGTGGGGGTGCAAGTAGGGCTTCAGGGTTCCTGGCAGATCCCTGGTTGGAGGCCATAAGAGCTGCCCTAGGCCCGAACACCCATAGGCCCTGTGCCGCCGCTTGGGGGCATGCCCCTGGGGTGTCAAGGTGCTGGGCCTCACCGCGAGCTACCTGAATGGAAGGTACGCTCCCCTAAACCCTAAACACTAAGCCCTAAACCCTAAACTAACCCTAAACCCCTAAACCCCTAAACCCTAAGCCCCAAGCCCTATAAGCCCTAAGCCCTAAGCCCTAAGCGGGTCCGCCTTTTGGGGTGCACCACTAGGCCACTAGGATTCCGTGCCAAGAATAGAGCTTCGGAAACTGGAAAACCCCCCAACAAGAAGAAAGCAAGTTATTGTTTAAAGTCAATTCTCTGAACAATCTCTCGACAACATGAAAACTGTAAACTCTAAATCTTCTTGTGTAGGCCTGGTTGGTGGCAGTCTACTGCGTGTTGCGACCGTGCAGCAGAAGCTCTTCCTCCTAAATTGCAGAGCACCAAGCCAAGGACTAAAACCCCTGGCAAGGATTCCCACAAGTACCCATAATACTCCCTTGAAAAAGGGGTGCCCTTTGTACTCAATCAGTTCCTGGAGCTCTAAGGGCCCCTGTAACGAAATGGTATGCACTTGGGCCCGCAACCCTGATCTCTGCAAACCCTACAGCCTAAAACCCTTCAAGGCCCAAGTATGCACCCATAGGCATGCGGACCCGGATCCCTGTACACCCTAAAGCCTAAACCCTTTAAGCCCCAAGTATGCACCACAGGTCCAGGGTTGGAACCGTGGACCCTGGTCCCTTACCCTTATTTATAGGGATCCGAAGTATGGGCCCTTATTATATTGGGCCCAGACTTCGGATCCCCTAAGAGTCATACGGACTTGTGGGAAGACCGCGTATGCAGGAGTACAGACTTCCTGGGAAAGCGCCTGCGTCTGGAGGTGGGGATCCCCGAAGCAGTGTTCAGTGTGACGCGGGTTGGGTATAGGGTTTATAGGGTTTTGGGTATAGGGTTTAGGGCTCAAGCAAGGCTACTTTGCGCAGCTGCCTCTGGTGCGCGGACGAGGCGCGCATACAAAATGCTCCAATGTCGACCCAACCAAAAGCCCCAGACACGAAACTCAAATCCCTAAACCCTCAACCTGCACCCCCTAAGATCCCAAGCTGCACGCACTAAAGCCTAGAGTCTCAGGGCTTAAAGGTTTTTCTGTTGAGGTTGGAAGAGTTTAGTGGCCATTAAGCGTCATGTGAGTTCAAGGGCGAGACCGATCGCAATCAAGTATCATGAGGAGAAGACGACAAGGAGTTTGCAAAAGAGAGCCAGAAGTGGAGGTCTCTAAGCCCGGCCCAACTACAGGTACCGCCTTTGTCTTGGGGTACACACTGTTGCATGAGATTGCAAAGTTTCAAGGTGCCCTGGATCCCCCCAAGGCTTTCCCAAGGCCCAGAACCCTACTTGTACCAAAAACCTCCCCCTAGATGGTCCACAATGAGTTGTGGGGTTGAGGGTCAGCCAGAACACTCTCATGTCCCACTCGTGCCCTCAGACACCCCAAGCTTCAGAGGCCCGGCTGCAGCAGTTCCGCTCGCAGCAGCCCTGCTGGCATCCCTTTGGGGGTAATAATTTCCCGTCGGAAAAAGGTTCAGGGCTTCAGGGTTTCAAGGGTTCCAAGAAGGGCAGTTTCATGGGCCCATGAATATGGCATATAAGGGGAATATAAGGGGTAAACTTCTAAGGGACCATGGTATCTACCCTAAGAATGGTTGTGGTGGTTCAAGGCATTTTGAGAGGGTGCATCAGTGGTTGAGGTGGGTTCAGGGTCTTGAGGGTTTGGGTTGCAAGGGTTGTGGGGTTTAGGGATTCGGGGAGAAGATTTCAGGCATTGAGGGTTGAGGGTTCACAGGTCTCGGGGCTTCGGGTTTGGTAAGGTGGAAGGTGGCTCGGGGTCAAGGGAGCGAGGTACCTAGAAAAGCTTGGGAAGCCTTACTACGGAAGAAAGGCCCTATACGATATACGGGGCCATGACCCCAGAAAGCCCTAAAGACCATAACTATGAGCCTCCCAAAGAGTTGATAGATCGGAGAGGTAAGTGCAGGTGGCAAAGAGCCCAGTTTGCCGTGCCACGCTTGCGGACGCTTCCCTCCCCCCCAAACCCTAAACCTTTAACACCCAAAACCCACCCCCTCCCCCCACCCCCGAAACCGCTACACTCCACTCCTAAGTCCCGAACCACTAAGCACACCCAAGCCCTAATCATGAATCCTCAACCCCAAAACCCCGAACCAAAAAGTAATCCGTAGCTTCCCTTTTTATAAGAGCCTTATAATTGGAGCTTCTAAGACAAACCCTATACCTGTCATAAGAGCCTGCTAAGGGATTCTAAGACGAACCCGATACTTGTCATAAGAGGCTTTGTTGTCAACCCCTATACTGTTGATCAGATCGTAGAAATGGTATTTCCCCACCTGTAACTGCCCTTTCTACATGTCAGCATGACAGGACCTTCGAGACGCTAAGCTACCGCGAGGCTCGCGTTTCCCAAACCCAACGCCCTAGACCCTAATCCCTAAACCCTAACCCCTGAACCGCATGCACGCCCTCAAGCCCTGAGTCTAACTTCGAGCTTCAAGGGCCCAGAATAAGGGACCATGTAGCTACCCTAAGATTAGGGTTTGTTCAGGGAAGTGAAACTATCCCTCAGCCCTAAGCTTGTTGGTGGGTAGGGGAGTGGATCTATTGCAAGACTACCCGTGTGTTGGTGTCTGTGCCTGGGTGCGTATGTCTAGACACGCACCCTTCTAGTAGTACCTGTGTCTACTCCCCCACTTTCCCTAAATAGGCCTTGTTTCTACGAATTTCTGCTGTCCTACAAGAACCATAGCGCACGACTAAGAGTACCCAAACTCTCTCAATCCTTGTGTCACGGCAAAACCCTAATAACAGCATTCGCCCACGCTATGGCCAAAGTAGTAAAACCCAAATCCCAGAACTCAATTATGGACAAACCCCCCAAAACCCCTAATCCCCTAAACACCTAAACCCCAGAACCGCAAAACCCCAAAACCCCAAAACCCCAAAACCCCAAAACCCCAAAACCCCAAAACCCCAAAACCCCAAAACCCCAAACCCCCCAAAACCCCCAACACCCCCAACACCCCCAACACCCCCAACACCCCCAACACCCCCAAAACCCCCAAAACCCCCAAAACCCCCAAAACCCCCAAAACCCCCAAAACCCCCAAAACCCCCAAAACCCCAAAACCCCCAAAACCCTCAAATCCAAAACCCCAAACCCTCAACTCTCCGCAGGGCAGCTCCCAGTTCCTCGCGCTGCGGCAGCGCTGCTGCGAGGAGCTCCGAGTTCTTCTCCAGGCCTTGGGTGAATCTTGCGGGGCTTTGGGTAGGGTTTAGGGTTTAGGGTTTAGGGTTTAGGGTTTGGGGTTGGGGGTTTAGGGTTTAGGGTTTAGGGTTTCGGGTTTTCGGGTGTAGGGTTTAGGGTTTAGGTTAAGGGCTCTTTTCGGGCTTCAAAGGGCTGTCAGAGGGCTTACCAGGGCTCATAAGGCTTACGGGGCTTAGGGGCTTGGTAGGGTTTAGGGCTTTAGGGTTTAGGGTTTAGGGTGAGAGTCGTGCTGTTGATGCGGTTGGGTTTGAGGTCTTGGGCTTCGGGTTTCACGTACTTGCCCCCTTAAACCCTAAACCTCCTGGGATGCAGTCTCTGCCCTTCATCGGGGCGCCACGCCCATCGACTCACTTCTGGGGCTGTCAGTTAGAGCTTTGGAGCTTAGAAAGAGCTCTAAAACCCCCCGAAAAAGCCATACAATCGTCTCAACCCCCCTATATTTAGATGAAAACGCCTGCACAAAGGCTATATAAGCCCTAAACAAGCCCGAAGCCTGAAGCAGAAACTCAAAGCAAAGATAGAAACCCAACAGAAAAGGCAAAACACGAGGCCTAACCCCCGCCCTCGGCGAGGCCTACACGCAGAACGACCAAAGCCCCCTCTGGGACTGCCGACAAGACATCGACAGGCTAGCCCTGGGATGATTTTAGGGTTTGGGAGGGTTGCTATGAGCTATATTAGTTAGGGGGACCCCCTACTTTGGGAAGTGCCCATGTGAGGTTTGGGCTTACAGCGTTTTAGGGTGTGGCCCTTGGGTTCATGGCCCCTTGGGTTAATGGGTCATTCAGAGTTCACAAGGGCCAAGTGAAGTTTAGGGAAGTGGCGCGGATTTGAGCACGCCCGCGCCGCAAGTTGTCAACAGTGCATTTCATCATCGCGGCGGTCCTTGTAGGCAACACTTGCCGCAGCCCCTAACATCCAAGTATCCAAGATGCTCGTGGGAAACAAGTGCCGGATCAAGCCCGCCTCCATTTCTCTCATTTCGGGGAAACTAGGGATCGGTGTGGTACACACCAAGGCAGCTCTGAAGTTTTTGAGCTCTTCCATTTCTCTCATTTCGAGGAACCCGAAAGGGTGTAGTACACACCAAGGCAGCTCTAGGTTTTTAAGTTCCTGCAGCGCACTGTTTCTGGATGAGAGATTCTAGAAATTCTAGAGTGTTATTATGATGGTGCGCATTGTATTGTTGGCGTTGAACTGTATTTAGCGTGAATGTTGATGTTGATGTCTATCATGGTTTCGTCCCTCTATTGTAGAATCTAGAAACTCTGAAGAAGGGCGCGTGACTGCGCGATCAGAAGCCTTGCTTGACAGCATGGGGGTTAAAAAAGAGTTGGCTTCCTCCAACCGTTGCTGTTTCCAATACCTTGCGGGGCAGTCGCATACATTAACATCCGTATTAACATGAGCAAGAATTTGTTAACATGAACATCAACACCAGCGTTAACGTTGACATATAATAACACTAGCATTAACATTAGCATGTATGTATCGTTGCCAATACTTGCCCCAGGATGACATGCAGTGCACAGGCATAAGCCCAGCAAATACCTGAACCCAATTGTGTATGAGCGCGCAAGCTGTTGCAAGGCTGATCGACAAAGCCGAGCGGGTCTTCGATCAGGCGAGCTTGAAGTTTTTCCCCTAAACGCTTAACTCCTGTTACCCTAAACCCTAAACCCTAAACCCTAAACCCTAAACCCTAAACCCTAAACCTCAAGCCCTTCCCTTCAGTTGGGGGGGGGGGGGGGGACGAATGAGAGGAATTGGACCTAGTTCCTGTACAGGGTATGCGATTCCCCACCCTTTTCTGGCGTATGGAATGGGGGAATGAGGGCTCTACATAATCCCTTAAAGGGTATATATAGGGCCCTCATTCCCTCATTCCCTACTAAGAACCAGGGGTTTTGCAAAGGGTACATGGGCCCATCCACGTCTCGGCAACTAGTTGGCCTTTTGGGATGCGTGGTGTTTCCGTGTATTGGTCTTTCAGCTTCAAGAGGTTTTTAAGGGCCAACCTCGATAAAACCAAGAGCCGCGGACGCAGCTATGTCCCCAACGGAGCCCGAAGCAAAACCCTAAATCCATGAAGCTTACAAGCCTAAGCCATGAAGCCCTCCGGCTGGGTTTCGGGTTGCGGGTTTGGGGCCCATATCTGATACCACAAACGAGAAGGAGATGTATGAGATCAGCTCCTTTATAAAGCCTTGTCTTGTAAACCCACGTAGGCCTTCACCGCCCTGAAGCCCGAAACCCTCAACCCTGACTCCCCCGGCCACAGAGAGTTCGAAGGCTGGTTTTCACGGCTGGGCCGCGTACGTTAAGAGCAGGATCCTACCTGCGGTCACGGAGAGGTCGGCAGCGCAATAAGGGTGGCCCTTACAAATCCTAACTTGGGTTTCAGGGATTTTGGGCTGTTACGTACCCCAGGCCCTCTACCTGAACTAACTAGGTTTCAACAGTGTATTGACTAGATTGAAGGCTTTTGAGGGGTTTGGGTGTTTCGGGCTTCTGGACTTTCGTGTTTCGGTACTGTACCCCTCCCGCCCCCACACACCCTAAAGATCACTTGAGGCCCGAAAAGGGAACGAGATGGCGGTTGCCAAGTTTGTAGATTTTTGGGGGTGTATTGGGTAGTGGGAGGGATTGTCTGGGATTTGTTTTACATCTTTTCTTGCATACTTGCTACCTCTGTTGTGATACTGCCTCAAGCTTGGCTATGAGCATTGTCCATTTCTACATAGGCGCCTGCCATCAAGTATAGGTGTTTGTGAAGCTGTTGAAGTTGTTAAGGCAGGAGCAACGCTGAAAACATGTTGACACCAGGCGGCATGCCTGGCATTTACATATGGGCGTTGACTAAACTAGGGGATCCCAAATACAGATCTCCAAATAATGGATCAAACGCAAGCAGGGAATTTTGCAGTAGATCCATCGGGTTTGGGGTTTAGGGGGCTCTTGGCTTAATCCAACAAGATGTAGGCATTTTTGTCTGGAACTGTCCCATACTTGGAGGTTCATGGGTACTTCTAAGTATCATAAGTAATTAGCCTAAACAAGGCATTGCCTATAAGTTACCCTACTTACAACGCTACTTACAAGTACCCAAATGAGCCTCCAAGTACGCCAGGTTCCACCAGAAGCTCGCAGACTCCGCCAGGGTGTCAGAGGCCGAGGCCACGTCGGGCTCTTGGTAGCCCACTGGTACTCTTTACCCTTTCTTTGGTTCTGGCACTGGGTTCCCTTATAAAGTAACCAACCAAAAACAGGGTACCCTTGTGATAATATGGTGGCTGGGCTACTAAGGGTTCTTGGAGCCACAAAGGACTCCCGCAGGGTCCTTCCCAAACCAAACCCTAACCCTCAGCCCTGAACCGAACTTGAAGGCCGAAGCCCTAACACCCTAATACCCTACACCCGAAAGCCCCAAATAGTCCTACGCAGCCTTAAACTTCTGGATTTGCCAAGTCTTGGGGGGGGAGGGGGGGGGTTGAGGGTAAGCCGGCGCGGCCAGTTTGCAACTCACGGTTGGTGTTAAGGTTCCAGAATCTATTGTTAAGTGTTCCAAGCTTAAACGAGAAATTTATCCCTGGAGCATGGTACATCAGACTTCCTTCATATGTGCCGGCTGCATTCACGTGACTCTTTGTTGCCTTCTTGTGCCTTTCTGTTGCTTTCCTGAGACTCTCCTGTGACTTCCATGTGCTTCCCTGTTCCTTTCATGTCGAGCCCCTAAACCCTAAACTGCCCTAAACCTTCAACCCTAAACCCTGAACCTAAACCCTAAACCCTAAACCCTAGACCCTAAACCCTAAACCCTAAACCCTAAACCCTAACCCTAACCCCTAAACCCTAAACCCTAAACCCTAAACCCTAAACCCTAAACCCTAAACCCTAAACCCTAAACCCCAAACCCTAAACCCTAAACCCTAACCCTAAACCTAAACCCTAACCCTAACCCTAAACCCTAAACCCTAACCCTAAACCCCCCCCCCCCCCCCGCACTGGCAAGGCCGCCTGGGACTCCCTGTGCCCGACGAGCGAGGCGGCCACCTCTGGCAAACTGGCTTCGCGGCCGCACCGAAAGAGGGGACTTGGGGTTTAGGATTCCGGGTTTAGGGGTTTGGTGGGGGTGTTGAATGTAGGGATATGAAGGTTCAAGGTTCAGGCGGGCAGCTTTACGTTGTTGGGGGCTCTGCTTCGGAATCGAGTCAGGTTGAGTCAGGGTGCCAAGCCGCCTCGGCGCCGTAGGAAGTTGCTCTCTTATCAAGCCTTAACCCGAAGGCCCTGTTTCCTGTAGCCGGGCTGTTCCAAAGTCAAGGCCTCACGTAGCCACGCGACACCCATAGACCCCTTGGTGTAAAACGAGTGGTTCCAGCTGACCTTGAGGTTGAAGCCCTTAGTGGTTGAGCTCCAAAGCCGAGCCCAGGAGGTGCTGGTGCAGCTGCTGAAGGACTTTTACGGCACCTTGGCATACTTCATGCCTCCTTTAGGGTCTAGGGTTTAGGGTTTAGGGTTTAGTATACCCCCAAAATGGCCCAATCCGTCATAGAATTGGCCTTAAACCCGCGGAGATATTCCCGCTGCATTCCTGGCAAAGACATGTCACCTGTTCCAGGTTCCCAACCTTGGCCCTATAAACCCTCAACCTTAAACCCGGGCTTGAGTGGGTAGTTATAAGTGTAAGGACCTAAAAAAGTGTTCTAACCGTAGTTAGCCTACTTATGACAAAACCCCCAGCCCTCTGGGTTTAAAGCCTTCCTTGCGCCGGGGGTTCCCGGAATTTTTCTCTAGGACCCCAGGAGCTTCCAATTTACCCTGCTCGCTCGTTCTTTTTTCTCTTTTTGTGAAAGGTTGTATATCGTACATAGGTTTTAATTAGGGCAACCTTTCTCAGCCCCATTGTGCAAGCAAAGCAGTGCTTCAGGCTGTATATCGACCCTGAGCCCTCAACCCGAAAACCTGAAATCCTGCCCTTAGGCTCTTCTTCAACTCGCGTGCCCTGCCCCCCTCCCCCGCTTCCCCCCCCCCCCCCCCCCCCAAGGCGATCCGACCTGTCCAAACCGAATTATCATCTTTGTGGCTCAGGCTCCGAGCTTGCGGCTAACGGGTCAGGGTTCATGGTTCGGGCAAAGGGTTTAGGGTTAGGGTTTAGGGGTGTAGGCTTCACTTGGGGTTTCGGATTTAGGGTCTAGGCCTAGAGGTAAGACTGGGTCAACTGTTGCCCGCTGTGAATCGAAGCGTCCTATGCTGGCAACCTATTTACGTGTTCCTCTGCCGCGAAGTACCCACAACGCCCGCAAACACAGGCACGGCTGACAACACATATACCTACGGTGAGCGGAAAACTGATCTAGGTCAGTTTCCACGTAGCGGCTTACAAGGGCCCTGGTGTAATATAGAGGTCGGAATAATCACAAATACTATTCCCTTATAGTCCGTTTATATTTAGGCTATAAGAACCCACAAAAACCCTATTCTAATTATTCAGGCTCCAAGATTATAGCTTCTCGCTCCACGATACCTTCGCTATGAACCAAAGACCGAGAAGCTCCGCAGACTCAGAGGCTTGGGGTTCATCTTCGACGTCAAAAGCACCTTGAAGCTTCAGGGTCGTTGCTGCTCTGAACTAAAGCCCGGAACCCTCAGCCTGAAGTCTAGAAGGCAGGGCTTTGGGGAAGTGTACCCTAAACCCCCTGAACCCTATACACCTTCAACCCCGCAAGGCTTCCCCCCCAAACGCTAAACCCTACAAACTCAAGGCGGACGATGCGTACCCGCTGGCCGCCACCATCAACCACTACCTGGGTAAATCCGTCACCCAGTACCTGGGTTTTGTCGTATGGGCTCGAGGTTTAGGCTGAAGGGCTCTTGGTGTTTGAACCAACACTCCTCAACCCTGCACTAAGCAGGCCAACGGTTTCCATTTCTGGTGCTTTCTCTGTGGGGTGTTGGGTTGTCCTTGAGACCTGACAGGGTTTCGGGATGCTTGGGGTTTCGGGCTTAGGGGGCCAGTGATTTTAGGGGCTTAGGGGTTGAGCGGTTTAGTGAGGAATTGAGGGCGGTCTCGAAGTTAGGTTTGAAGTTTTCCGTTTGTGTACTAACCATAAAGCTGGGGGCACATGTAACACTCCAAAAGGCATGGCCCCCAAGACCCTGAAATAAGGTATTTCGACGAGTCTAGACGACGACAACTTTGGGATGTACAGTTCCTCACCCAAATTCCCTCAACCAACAAACCCTTCTTAATCTGGAACCAGTAAACCCAGCAGGAGAGCAGCCCCAGACTTAGGGCACCCGGCTGGAATAGACATCATGAGCCACCCACAACACCCTTTCCGCCCATCTCCCGCCGTCTGAACGCAAGGTACCTGAGCGGGGTGAACTCGATGAGCTCGGCAGGGCAGCAGAAGGACCGCGATGTTTGACTATGGGCGTTTCCTGGGCGTCCAAAAGATTGATGGTTTGGGTTGGGTTAGGACTTTTTTGAGTTTCGGGCTTAGGACGAAGCAGATGCGTCGAGTGCGAAGGGGGTCGAAGTTAGGCTTTGGGGGGGGAATTTCGGGGGTGGGGGGGGGGGGTATGCAGGCTCCGAAGCGCAGCGGGGAAGCATCAGCCAAGCCTAAGACCATGCAACTACAGGGTCTCATGGCATGCCGAGGTTGTCGGTTGAGGGCCATGTTGCTTCACTGCATGGTCATTATACTGCTGGGCTAGGTTTCCATGATTGCCCTGTTAGGGGACAGCAAGCTACCCTCTGTAAAGTAGCCTGCCCGTTGTATTCCTGGCCCACTGGGGAGCCACCTCATATCTGACAGGCTCTCCGGGCCTTCGCAGAGGGCATCTGCCCGGTGATGGTGGCCACTCCGGCTCTGGAGGAAGGCAGGGAACGGTGCTCCAGGTTTAGTAAGGGTTTAGGGTTAGGCTTGTGGGTGGGCTTGCGGTTTAGGGCTTAGGGTTGTGGATGTTGAGGGGGGGGGGGGGGGGGCAAAATGGAGGGGTAGCTTGTGGCTTACGCCGCCCCGGTCTGTGTGTGCGTGTGTGTGTATATATATCTATCTAAATGCACCATGTGTGTATATATATATACATACATACATACACACGTTTGTAAAAAGGAATGTGTATGTATGTATGCATGCATGCATGTCTGCATGTATGCATGTATGCATGTACGTATGTACGTATGTACGTATGTACGTATGTACGTATGTACGTATGTACGTATGTATGTATGTATGTATGTATGTATGTATGTATGTATGTATGTATGTATGTATGTATGTATGTATGTATGTTAGTTATTTTGTTATGTATCTATGTGTGTACGAACGTGTGTATGTGTGTATATGTATATGTATATATATATATATATTCACACATCTAGTATCGGGGTATATATACATATATCTACGAGCGAGCGAGCGAGAGAGAGAGAGAGAGAGAGACCTACCCTTAACACTAAGAACTATCCTCAGGGAGCCGTTTTGCAGACACAAGTGTCACGGGCCTTGTGGTGTTCTACAAGGTGCGTATGCATTTATACACATGTAGAGGTTTCATGTAGAGCACGGTGTTGGATACCCTGCGTTCTTCTTAGGGTGCTGAATAGCAAAGCTGCAGCAGGCATCGACGTGCCCAGCTGCAACGTGGTGATCCGCTGCGCGCTCGGCTTCTGAAGCGTTCTAAGCCCCTACTTGCAGACGCAGTGCGGTAGAGCCTGAATCCCCCCCAACCCGTGAGCCCTAAGCCCTAGCAGGTTACGATGCGTTCTACACCGCCAAGTCCCACATTCAGGGTGCTGGCAGAGCGAGGAAGAAGGACGGCATTTAGCGTTTAGGGTTTAGGACCCCCTGCGGTTGCGCTTCTCCTTGTTGAAGTCCTATAGATTCCTCATAAATCTACTACCGATGCATCTTTTTCAGTTCCTAGGCTATTCGGGGGCCCAGAAAACTCCAGATAACGCGAGTCAAGGTGGGGCCAGCCCTTGAGCTTTAGACTCTGTCTGAGCCCTGTAGCGTCGGGCCATGAGCGCACCGCGCGCTGAAACCCTAGGGCCTTATGTCCCCCAGTGTGCGTTTCCTGCCCGGGTCTCCCTCTCCCATCTCTCCTCGCCCGCCAGAGAATCATGCAGAGCGCCCCTGGAGCCCATTTGCGTCCCGCAGAACATGCCCGAGTCTTCTTGGGAGAATCCCACGGAGCTTCCCCTGGAGTGCAGAGAAAATCCCGACCAAAAAAAATGCCGCAGAGCAATGAGGGCACCGTGAGTACCCAAGCGCAACACTTCCAGACAACCCCACGGAGGATTCCTGGAGGGTCCCCACGTCGCATCCAGCAGAGTCCCTGGAGCGCCAATGTTCCAATGCACGTCATCTAGCTTTGTTTCGGGGTCGGGATGTTTGAAACCATGATTTGTTGATGCGGCGTGTCTCCTTTCCCAAGCCGAGCCTTTCATCCCACTCGGTGGCTCAGGCTACTCGTGGTGAGGTAACAGGCAAAGCCGCCACCCTTTCTGGCTTTTGGAGATTCCTCCCATCCAGCTTTAAGTGGCAAATTCTTCCGTGCTGTGTGCGAAGCTCAGCTAGCGACCCTTCCTGTGCGGGAAGCAGCTGGGCGATGCAGGACGCTCGAATCTTTTACTTCGAGAACAACTGGGAGCAGGAGGACATTCGTTTTCGGTGGACATGACATGTAGAGACATACATGGTCTACTCTACTCTACAGAAGCCCCACCCTAAACCGCCCAAAGCCACACATGGGTTTTCGTACCCTCAAGCTTGAAGCCAATCTTCAGCCTTAGACCTTCAACCACGTGGTTCCCTTAACTACATGCCACTGCGTATACGTACACATATACATATACATATATATATATATATGTGTTTTTTAGTATGTTTCTTTTTTGTACACACATTGTGTTATCTCTGGTTTTGTTTAGTGATCTTCGCATCGGGGCCTACACCCTCCACCTTCAAAACCCCTGCGTGCGGAAGGAGCTTGCGCGAGACATGATGCAGCAGGCGGCAGAGCAGCCCCTGGAGCTCTTGAAGGAGGGCTCTGACATGGCAGCCTGAAATCTGTAAGCCGTCTTAAATCCCTAAACCCTAAACCCTAAACCCTACACCCTAAACCCTAAACCCTAAACCCTAAACCCTAAACCCTAAACCCTAAACCCTAAACCCTAAACCCTAAACCCTAAACCCTAAACCCAAACCCTAAACCGCAAGCCCTAAACCCTAAACCCCCAGGATAAGTCTGTCAAGGCATGCTTCTGATGTATTCGGCCACCAGAAAAGGGCCCCCAGAATGTTGATCAAGACCCAGCCTCGGGGCCCATGACGTAGCTCAAGTTGTAGGGCCAACTGGGGTTTAGGGTTTAGGGTTTAGTTAGGGTTTAGGGTTTAGGGTTTAGGGTTTAGGGTTTAGGGTTTAGGGTTTAGGGTTTAGGGTTTAGGGTTTAGGGTTTAGGCTTTAGATTTTGGGTTTAGGGTTTAGAGGTTGCGGGTTAGGCAAGTCCTTTCACGGAGGGGGACATGAGATCTGTGCAGGGTGCAGACGGACATGGGCAGGGTGCAGGGTTAGGGCTCTGGGGGGACATGGGGGTTTCCGAAATTGGGGCTACCTTCTTGGGGTTCTTATTGGAAGGGAATCCTGCTATTTGGAGATATATTGCGGGGTCCCTATTTTCCTAAAACCCCAAATAGCTGGAGTTTGGCGGTCAAGCCCTGCTGTCGCCCCAACCCTAAACCCTAAATGCAGGGCAAGCGGGCACCTGGTGCCCGGCACATTCCATCTCAGGAACTCTACTGTCCTTGGGGTGTTTTGGGGTTCAGGTTTAGGGTTTAGGTCTTCGGGCTTTGGGTTCAGGAGCTTGGCGCTTTCGGGTTCAGGCTTTAAGGTAGGAACTTGGGGATTTGAGGGAGATCTCCAGAGAAGGAGGCTGATGTCCAGAAGCCTTCTTCCACCGCAGACGCCTTAGAGGCGCCATGGGTCCAACGATTTGAGGCTCAAGGGTTTAGGGCTTAGGGTTTGGGGTGTGGGTTTTAGGGGTTTAGGGTTCCGGGTTTAGGTTTTTACACCCCTGAAGCCCTAAACACTAAACCCTAAACCCGGTAGGCTTCGTGCCAGTTGCGTGGCGAAGGTAGTGCCGACAAAAAAGGGGGGTTCATTGCAACCACAGCTTGTTGCCACACTGAAATTGAAAAAGGCGGTCTTGTAGAAGGCTCGGAAGGGCCCTACACCCCAAGGCCCTGAAACCGTGAAGCTCTAAACCCCAAACCCTGGAACCTCTACAACCCTCAAAGCCCTGCGTCCACAATCCCTAGGATTGGAAACTCCTACGAAGCCCCAAAATCACTGAACCCCCCTGAACCCCTACATGCCCAACCCAAACCCCTAGAGCCCTACCCCGTAACCCCGAATCCAGATCTTGACTCCAAATCATCAGGAACTCTCCAGCATTAACCCTAAACCCTAAACCCTAAACCCTGAACCCTGAACCCTGAACCCTGAACCCTGAACCCTGAACCCTAAACCCTAAACCCTAAACCCTAAACCCTACGGCCAGGTGGAGGGTTTGCGGGGTGGGAAGCTTGACGCTGTTGACGCAGGCGCCGACGACTTTGTCCGAGTCCCAAGCTCCTCAGGCACCCCAAGATGCACGTCCTACCGAGGCGAGGTGGAGGGTTTAGGGTTTAGGGTTTAGGGTTTAGGGTTTAGGGTTTAGGGTTTACGGTTTAGGGTTTAGGTTGAGGAGTTCGGGCACCTTGCGTGGACTATATGCTAGCAAGTTAGGGACCTACGCACTTGAGGGGCGTTTCTGATAGGTTGCATAGGGGGATTCCGCTACAACGAGTTAGCTAACCCTCCGTAATTCCCTGCTTAGGACTGCCCGTAAAGCCCTGAAAGCTCGGAAGCTCACGAGCCCCTAAAGCCCTCCGCGATCTCCATCTTCCCTTGAAAGGTGCTGGTTTTTTTGTCTCTCGATTGATTGGGGGTTTCCGAAGCAAGGGGCACCATTTGGGGGATCCCATTTTTTGGGGATCTATATTGGGGGTCCCCTGTTTTCGTTAAAAGTAGGGAGGGCTGGGTTTAGGTCACCTGCAGTGCCCCACCTCACAAGAAAGGTCTTCCTGCCATGGATGATCCGAAGTCCCTAGCCTCTTGGGATGTCGGGGGCACTTCTGAGATTTGAGGCCACATCATGAATTTGGGATGTTCCCCCCTTTTACTAGCAGTCCTTAACAGGGATTGCAGTACCCCTATTATCATCCCGACTGCCAGTATAACAGGGTGGAAAATAAGCCTAGGGCTGCCCCCACAAGGCCGAAAACCTCGCTTTAAATATTCCTAGACGAGGAGCTGCTCTCCGCAGCAGGAGGTGATCTGGGCCTTGATCCCAAGTCTCCAACCCTTCTCCAGAAAAGAAGCTCTACAGTAGCTCCCCTACAATGCCACATCCTCAGCACGAAGCCCGGCCCCTAAACCGCAAGGGCGTGCGGAACCCGGGCCACAGCACGCCTGCTGCGCCCTCGTACACCGCCTGGGCGGAGGCACTGCCGCAGTGCCTCCCAAGCAAATGCGTTTCGGGTTTAGGGATAGTTGCACCCAGACAATTTCACCCATTATAGTAGATGGAATATTTTACTTCGAACATCTCCACCCTGCAGGCAAGAAATTTGCGAGCTCACACTCTGGACTTGGGCGCTCCAGGGATACTCTGGAAATAATCTGGGGTTAGGCACTCAAGGAATTCTGTGGGGATACTCCGGGGTTGGGCACTCCAGGGATTTGTGCGGATACTCTGGGGTTGGGCACTCCAGCCTGCGGTTGGGCGCTCCGGGGTTTCTCTTCTGGATACTCTCGGGTTGTGGTCACTCGCTGTGTCTCTACGCTGGCAGAAGATCAAGAATCGAAAAACTAGACTTAGCATTTCTGACATCTACCTATTTGAACTACAATTCGTTTTGTGGTGTTTCTTCTCAGTGCATACACTGAGTACGCTCACATTGGTAACATCCTTGACATAACAGTTAGCATGACTCATGTAGCGAATATCGTTCATACGACTCATTGTGCAAGCATCATGGCCTGGCTATCATTGCTGTGCTGAGTATAAGTCCGATCAACACTTTCTCAAAACGTGACCTTTGGGCACCTGCAGAATACTCATGAACACAAGTAAGGCTTAATGACCTGCATCGTTCGCAGTATGTTCCATATGTATCATCAGATGTGTAAAGAAAGGAATGAAGCATGTTCCCGGCCCACCTCTCCCGCCCACTTTAGGAAATACAAATCGCAGTTTACATGCAGTTACAATAATGAACATTAAGAGTACACCTTAAGTATATTTGCTATATTCTACCTCATGGGGACACGGAAGAGACACAAACGAATCACTAAGCCTCAAACATACTCCTGAACATACGTAAATATATCGACATTTGTTTGGCCAGCTTGGAGAAGGTGAATTCTTCTCAGTACTTGTTGTTCATCATGCATGCCAGGGTGATCCCACACCTGATACTTTTCCTTATCACAATGGAAGTAGGGAGGTAAGTTGAGCTCTGCGCGGGACGTGTGTTGAGTTCCTAACCCCCCACCTCCCTTCACAGGACCGTGCCTTGCGGATCATGGGCGGGCTGTAGCGAGAGAGGGAGAGAGAGAGAGAGAGTGAGTGAGTGAGTGAGTGAGTGAGAGAGATAGAGAGATAGAGAGACAGACACAGAGAGAGAGAGAGAGAGAGAGAGAGAGAGAGGAAGTGAGAGTGCGAGTGCGAGTGCGATTGGGAGTGAGAATGAGAGTGTCAGCTCGATAGCTTTCTTGGGGTC